CGGTTCTGGGCGGGGGCCTTCGGCTCGCTGGTGGGTTGTGGGTCATGGGCTGGGGGGTTGGGTGTTTGGGGGCGTGACCAGTGGCCCCTAGGAGGGGGTAGTTTGACCCAGCCTAGGTGTCTAGTGTGCTATGTGTTTTGAGAGATGTCCGAATGAGGGGTGGGTGTAGTATTTCTTCTGGAGTGGGGATGGGGTGGATGTCCTTGGGGGCGGCCCGGGACTGTGCATGGCCGGCTGGCTGGCCCCTTTCCTGTGGTGGGGGCTCGCTCCCGGTGCTTCCTGGCACTGTCGGCGGTTGGGCGGGCGCTCTTGGCCGGGTCGTCCTGGTGGGGTTTGGCTTCATCTGGTGGCGGGCTGACTGCGATCTGTGGGGGTCCTGGTGGCCCTCGGGTGTGTAGACTGCTGGTGCAGCTTCTGGCGGCCCTCGGGGCTCTGTCCCTCTCTGGTCTGGAGCTCAGCGGGCCTGACGGTCGGTCCAGATGGAGAGGTGTCTTGGCCTCAATCCCTGGGTGGACCTTGGGGGGCGGGGGGGGGGGGGGGCTGTTGGGTCAGTGGGGGAGCTGACCCCCTGTGGGAGCATTTGCTCTCACAGTTATTTCTCCCCATCCCTCACCATGCACCTCCACCCTCTTCATTTCAATTCCATACATTTAGGGTTGTTTGGGCTCGGGTGTGCTGCAACAATTTTACATCTTTGTTGACCATAGCCACCTGGGACTCAATTTTATTGTACACCTTAGACATTCATTCATAACATCCTCATGACATTCATATATAGGAATTTGAGGTGGGCACATGGCTATGGGTGGTGGGATGACCTTACTCTCACCCCCTGTGCCTGTGCTCACTTACAACGGTTGCATTTAGACACTAGGGTTTGGATAGAGTTGGGGTGGAGGGGAAACTGGCACCATGCCAGCCTTTGCTCCTTCTTCTTTCCTTTTTAATGGCACTATACAACAACACACATCAACAGCACATCTAGGGGTGGGGGTGTATGTGTCGGGGTCTTATTTTTAGTTATTTATTTATTTTATTTTATTTTTTTTTTTTTTCTCCTCTTCCTACCCACCTAGTTCCCTGACTGCCATTCCGGGGGTGGGGTCCGGGAGAAGGGCAGGCCGTCGGGTGTTGACCAGGACTATGTGGGGGTTCAGGGTCTGGGGGTTGCCATGGGCGGTGCTGGCGCTGTGCTCTCCCTGGGGTTGTTTGGACCCCCTGAGCTTGGCTCTTGGGTGCCATGGTTGGCCCGCTGGCCGGGGTGGCTGCCGGGGCCTGGCGGGCGGTCGGCTGGGGGTGCGTGCTTGGTTGTTGGCGGTGTGTGGGGGTGGTCGGTGGCGTGTCCTCTTCATGGTGGGGGGGTATCCTGTCGGCGGGGCATGGCCTGGGCCGGATCTGGGGTATTGGCTCTTCTCCGCTCAAGAATGAATGGGTTTACCTCCTGGGTTTGGGCATGGGCTGCCCCCTGTAGAGGGCGGGTACATGTCTTGGACCTGGGGGGTATAGAGTGTGTATCGGGAATAAGAATGAAATGTATTGTTATTGTATGTCTTTGAGTGAATGAATGTGAGATTGAGGTTGGGATAGTGTGATTGTGTATGTGTATGAATGGGTATTTGTTAGGCCGAGACTCGGACTGCCCCCTCTTTGATACAACTGGGGGTGCTTGGCATCGCGCCCCTATCGCGCGGCCCCCTGGTGGGGTGTGCCCTTGCCTGCCGGTGCGCTTGGGGCCCTTGGTATCGGGGGCTGGGCGCTTGGGCGTGTGTCGGCTCGGCCTGGTGTCTGCCTGGTGGGGCTCGGGTCCTCTGGCCCTGTCAGGCCTTGGCCTGGGTGGTGTGGGTCCTCGGTGCCCGGGCCTCGGTGCCTGGACCTGGACCTACATCGGTGCGGCGGGTGCCGACGGAGGCCTATGAGTTTGTCGCTGTTGGCCCCGGGGGGTCACTGTATGTGGTTGCTGGTGGGGATCTTCCGGTTCTCCCCTGTGGTCCCTTCTGGGGGGTGGGTGAGTGGTTCGCCCTGTGTGGGTGGCTCTGGGGGCTCCGCGGTCGGGGTCCCTCCTGGGGTCTTGGGCTCTGGTCCCCCCTTTTTCGTCTGCCTCTGGTCTTGGGGGTCGGGTCTCTGCTGCTTCACAATTACTAATAAATGTTCTATTAGAGAAGCCTTATACACTTATGCATGCTCACAACCACACACAAACAGAAGCAGGGATGTTTATGTAGGCTTTATATGTAGATATATAGATATGTATGTGAGTGTATATTCATGTGTATGTATGTATGTATGTATGTATGTATATAGGCGTAGGTATGGGTATATATATTTATTGAAACTTACTGCAAAGCCATGAATATTTTAAGTTCTTTATACATATGTATTTTGTTGCTGTGTTTTGTCATGTTCTTTGCAGGTGAACAGACAGTGGCCGGGTGTTTTGAAGTGTGCTCTATTTGTATATATTTCTTATATTTTGGAGTCTTACTTTGTCTTTTCTTTCTTTCTATCCTATTAAAAAAAAAAAAAAAAAACAACCCTACACTAGAATGTCACTATAATAAATATTTCATAATAATGGTGTGGAGAGGATGGCTGTAAGGGGAGAAGGGAGGCCATCACAAGAAAAAAAGAAAAAAAAAAAAAAAAAAGAAAAGACAGACCAGGACTTCATTTGTAAACCGATCGATGCTGGAATGCAAATGGCAGGCGGGGGAGGGGGTGTCTGGGGGTCCTCCCCCAGAAAATTTTGAATAAAGTAGATGCCATTTCCTTTGATCTGGTGTATTTTAGCAGGTTGTTAAACATCTACGTTTACCTCCACAAGTACACAGTTGATGCAACAACATCATCTCTCTCCTTGTGTGTGAATAGAGCAGCTCCGCTCCGTCAAGGCAAGCATCCCCCTCCTCTCCTCTCACTTCATGGTTCCGACCCCTACACCGCTCCGCTGAATTCAGTCCTCTGCGTTGTTGTCTGACTCCACTCACATGTGAAACTTCCTGGCGTCTCCTCCGTCTGTTATGGCCGCTGCCTGTGACCTCCTGCTCACGTACAGCTGCCGGGTTAGCTCGGCGCTCACCCCCACGCCGCTCGCTCACTCCTGCAGATTGGAGCAGCAGCTGAAGTCAGTGGCAGGCGACATTAGTTGATTGCCACTGACTTCAGCTGCTTCAATTTTCAGTTGTCCAACTAAGAACAATAGAAGCCTTTTTAGACGAAAGTAAATTGGTCTGTCTTTTCAACATTTTGATCGCTGTTATTTGGACCAGTTAGCGCCGTTGTTTTGCGTCATGGATGTACGTCACGTGATTATCCATCAAACATTTTTCTCATCTTTACTATAATTTTGAACAAACAAATAATTGTTTTTAAGTGTTAATCTTGTTAAAGTCCTCCTGTGCACACTCCCACTGCCACCATTTGGCAGCCAATCGATTTTTGGCACAACACTGGCCCACATTTCTGGGTTGTCAGTGGTGATGCATAATAGATGCAACTTATACGGCAAATCAAAGTATTTATGGATTTTTTTCACTTTATTAGACATTTTTGGACTGATGCGACTTATAGGGCGGTGCGACGTGTACGGCGGAAAATATGGTAAATGTTTTATTTTTTTTCCTGAACATTGCTTTTAACACAGCTGGTAATAAATGATAATACAGTAGGCTGATCGCTATCGTCATCTTCCTCCTGTGCACTAAAGTCATCTTGTTCAGTGTCAGAATTGAACAGCCTCAGAAAAACTTCATCACACTCGTCCTCAGTCTCTTTCTTTGTCGAATCAATCAATCACCTTTATTTTACCAGGGAGAGCCCGTTGAGATCGAGATCTCTTTCACAAGGGTGACCTGAATTTATTTATTTTTTTTAATCAATCAATCACCTTTAACGAATAAAATACAGTAGTCTACCAGGAAGTCATTGATGCATATATTCATATTTCTCCTGCTACAAGCTTGTGCCCCGCAGAGCAAAAGTTGCTCTTTGCATGCAGGGGAGTCCCCCTCACATGCTCTGCACATGGGGGTGTTCCCCCCACCCCTCCACCGTTCTCTCCTCCCCTCCCCATTTCATTTGTCCCATGTTTTTTTTAACCTTTATTTATACAGGTAGTCTTATTGAGTCACGAGGACACACCCTCCCAAGAGAGACATGTATTGGGCAGCGCTGAGTGCCCAGGTGTGACCAAGCTAAATGTTTTTGGTGGCAGGAAGCTCCATAGCCCGTCAAAATAAAATAAAAAATCCATAAATTAGCCACAGCATTGTATAAGCTGTGAGATTCAAAGCCTGTGAAAAAATGAGCGTCTTATAGACCAGAAATGACACTAATCACTTCCTTTGACTCTTTGTTTGTAGATATTGAGCAACAATGATGGTCTTTTACTAGTTTTGTTGGTTAGTCTAGACTGATTTTAGTTCATTACAGTGTATTCAAAGAAAATAAAAGTTAGCTGTATGAATGACTAAAATAAAATAAAAATGTTGTTTTATTTTCTTTCATGAAGTGTTGACAAACCATTAGGAAGTTGGAAGTGTTGCAAAGATTGAAGTATTGTTAACATGAATGTGTCTTCGGTTGCATCAAACTTTGTGCAGTGCATCACAGTGAATATACGAGGTTGACGGCTGTGCACAGTTCAAGGTCATGGGACTCGAGTGTTCATCACGAAACAGAACAACCTAGAAGTAAAACCTGTACCAAGTTCTTGAGTGCAGAATTCTGGCATAATAACGTGTTGTGGATTCTTCAGAGTCAGTCACAACACATTAAAATAATTTTTACTCAATGACAAATTCAAACGTTTTAATGTAACACAGATGTGGAACAGTGTATGATACTATAGGTCAACCATCTTTTTAACTTGTACTTTTCAATTTCATGGAGTAAATTGTAAAGAGTTTTGGGTCGATCAAAAATGTTCTTGTGAATTGATAAATTTGCTGATTTTAAGTTGAAGCAGACCATATATTGTTTCTCTTGTGCCGTTTTGATGACAGGATGGTCAACCCGATATTCTCTCCACTTTTTGGAACGATGTAACCAGCACACTGAGTCGTGAGTTTCACAAAGCAACTGAAGGTAAGAGGTGTCTTTTCTTGGTGTTATGTCTGGTGCGTCCACTGAAACGACAACTGTGTAATAATGCAGTACAGGTTACTGCTCAGTTGAAGACGTCTTACAGACTGCAGGAGTCCAGATGCACACAATGTTTCAATTGTAATATAATACTCCACTTTCCTCCCACAGACCAAAAACATGCATGTTAGGCTGATTGGTGACTCTAACATGTCCCTAGGTGAGAGAGAGAGAGTGAATGGTTGTTTGTCTCGTTTGTCTCTATGTCCCTGTGATGGACTGGAGACCTGTCCAGGGTGTCCCCCACCTCTCCTACAGTGATAGCTGGATATGTACACCAGTGACCCCCACAACCCAAAAAGGAAGAAGTGGGTAAAGGTTCTGTATGGATGTATGGATATTCACCTGTGTCGTGTGAACTCTTGAGTAAACTGTCTATTATTTGATTTGCATAGAATGTGTGTTTCAACAAAAAGGGTAGTGAGTATAAACTACTATATTTAGTTGGGTTTCAATGCAGACATGAGCTGTTCTGAATCACTTTGAATATGTCAATTTATTTTTATTTAATATTATTAAAGTCATGTTTGTGACAGTCATTAGTATATTCATACATTCATACATACAGGTGCTGGTCATAAAATTAGAATATCATGGAAAAGTTGATTTATTTCAGTAATTTCATTCAAAAAGTGAAACTTGTATATTATATTAATTCATTACATACAGACTGATATATTACAAATGTTTATTATTCTAATTTTTTGAAATCCTGTTTTTGTGGGTTTCATGAACTGGAAGCCCAAATTATGTAAAAATAAACAAATAAATACTTGGAATAGTTTAAGTTGTGGGCCCTGAATCTATCATCTATTAAAGATTAACTTTTTGAATGCAATTATGGAAGTTCAACAACTTTTCCTTGATATTCTACTTGTTTGGAAAGTGACTGTACACACACTAGCACACATGGATATAGATGTATATAGATAAAGATTAAATATATATATATATATATATATATATATATATATACATTTTTTTTTTTTTTTTTTGTCACCTCTTTCTAGCCTCCTCATTCCTGAAGCAGGCTTTTGAAGGAGAATATCCCAAATTGCTGCAACTTTACAATGAGCTGTGGCGCCGCCTGCAGCAGTATAACACTTGTCTGCAGGGCTCCTGGACCAGCAGTGGAGGCTTGGATTCTGCTCTGGATATCACTACTGCAGAAATAGACAGCCTGGACCTTTTCACACAGGGCAAACAGGACTACAAGTGAGTGCAGTCACATGCAGCAGCACAGTCAGAACCACTTTCATTTGTCTAGTGCTGAGCTCAGCAACATGTATGTTCAACCGCTCTGCAGTAGGTCTTTTTTTATATGTCACTAAATACACTGACACTAAGAAATGTTTATAGCCAGTATTGATTGACTGTAGGAATTTTGACTTTAGGACGTTAGCAGTTTAAATTTGTTGAAGTTTTTGCATGATTAAAAGAAAACTATTCTGTTTAAACAATATATCATTTAGCCATCAAAGTATTTTTTGTAGATTTGTAAAGCTACCTTCTTATAATAATGTGCATCAGTCTGGTTCTCAGTCATCCAGTACAAGGTAAATCAAATTAAAAATAAAGAAATAAACAAAGCATCCTTTATTACCAAACTTCATTTGATTCGTTTTTAACATTTTTTAAAACCCATCCATCCATTGTATTCCTCTTGTTCTGGAGTTGGATCATGGGGCTAACATCTCTACCCTCAGCCACCACTTCTAACTCTTCTGGGAGGATCCCATGGTGTTCCCAGACCGGCAGAGAGACATGGTCTCTCTAGCATGTCTTGGGTCTTCCCTGGGGTCTACTCCCCATCAGACAGGCCATGAGCACCTCCCTAGGGAAGTGCCCAGGGAGTATCATTACCAGATGCCTGAACCACCTCAACAGGTTCTTCTCAGTGGGGAGGAGTAGCGACTCGACTCCGAGTCTCTCCCGGACAACTGAACTTCTAACTGTGTCTCTAAAGGAGAATCAAGTACCCTGCGGAGAAAACTCGTTTCGACCACCTGTGTCCGCAATCTCATTCTTTCTGTCACTACCCAGTGTTTGTAGCCATAGGTGAGAGTAGGAACGTAGACAGACCGATAAACAGAGAGCTTCACTTTATACATCAACTCTAGAGGTGCACCCCTAGTCAGCTCCCTCTTTACCACAACAGACCGACAGAGTCCGTAATACAGCCGAAGCTGCAGTGGTCGGTCTGTAGATTTCACGCTCCATTCTTCCCTCATTCATGAACAAAACCTCAAGATACTTGAAGTCCTCCACTTGAGGTAGCACCTCACCCTCAAACCAGAGAGGGGAATCCACCCTTTTCCGAGTGAGGAACATGCCTCAGATTTGTAGGTGCTGATCGTCATCCCAGCTGCTTTAAACTTTGCTGTGAACTGCTGAGACCTGAAGATTACAGCATGATGTTGACAACATTGGAATCCCAGTCCCATACTTGTGGAGGTCCCCCCACCCAACAGTGTACCTCAAGAAACATGGTACAACTTCTACAGGTTAGCCTCACTGAGCCCCGAGGACTCATTTACAAGAGAGACCTGAATTAAATGAACAGGAGAGAGGTACAAACAACATTAGACAGTCCTATAAAAACATATCACATGAAAAGTAAATGGAAGAATTTATACAAAAATGAAACGGAAGCTTTTGCATTGTAAAGCAATATAAAATACTACAAAACAGGAACATGTCTGCCATGTCTTGGGTTTTGCTATGAACTTAGCAGATGTTTGAAACCACTTAGAGAGGTCAAGGTCGAGAGCTTCAGATCTTTTTACAAGATATTCCAGGAAACAGGAGCGGAGTAGGAGAAGGTACTTTTGTCTAGTTCAGTCCTCACTGAGGGAACACTGCAGGTAATAATGTCTTGAGAGCGCACGCTGTAGCTGCACTCACACAGAGACATGTAGGAGGAGTTGTATGAAGGCAGCAGACCAGGAAGTGATTTAAAGATGAAAATGTACCAGTGAGAGAGTCTGTGTGAAGTTAATGATGTCCAGTTAACCAATGAATACAGGGTGCAGTGGTGGGTACAGTAGTTACAGCCAGTTATGAATCTTAGTGCACCATGATAGACAGCATCCAACATCTGCAAGGTGCACCATCACCAAGGGTAAATGGGAGACAGCGCAATCTGCTGGCTACCCTACCTTAGATAAATACCGGTATTTAATTTTATTTTGTATAAAGATATAAAAAAAACTTGTGTCCCCTATCATGGACTGAAAAGGGGGACAAAAACATTGGATATACCCTCCGTTCGTCCATCTGTGCATGTTGTGAGCATGATAAATGGAGTAAAAAAGCAACAAACCAACCATTTGGGCGTGTGGCTACATTTAGGCAAAATACATTTTCCTTTAGATATCTGAGTTGCAAAATTCAAGATGGCTGCCACCTTAAATATTCAATCATTTTGTGAGCTGCATAACTTGAAAAAAGACAAAACATGCCATCTTCCACTTTGGTCTAACACTGCATTTAGGCATGTTAAATGTCCCTTTCAAAGATTGGGTTTCCATGTCAAAATCCAAGATGGCTTCCATCAAATATGTCCGTCCTTTTTGAGAACTTCAAAACTTGAAAATTAAGTAACCGGGGCAGGGTGGTGGTGGTGTCTTAATAAGTAAGACTTCCATTTTTTTGTGTAGCTGCATGTAGGTGTAACAAGGGTCACCATCTAAAATTGGGTTGACACGTCAAAATCCAAGATGGTTGCTGCCATTTATGTATATGTGTAAACCAGTTCCTCAAGGTCATCCATTCATTCTTACTTGCTCAGGATGGAAGACTGCAATGAAGCCAAGATTCAACTTGTCTGCTGGCCTCTTTAGATAGAGAACTTTACAGAAACATTCACATACATAAAAGCCAATTAGTAAAGTGCCCTGAGACAACTTTGTTGTGGTTTGGCGCTATATAAATAAACTGAATTGAAATTCAGTTGGATGTCTGGCTTTTGTTTGGTTGACATGTTTAGGACATTAAAGCAATTTTTCTGGAGTGAACATTCAGAGAATAAGAATAATAGAGTTGTTGGTAATCCCATGTTTAGAATAATGTATCCTGCCTCTGTGTGTGTGTCTGTAGCCCAGAAAAAGCTCTGAAAGACTCTCTTCAGTCGTATGAGGCTGCCTACCTTTCCAAGTCCCTGTCACGCTTGTTTGATCCCATCAACCTTGTATTTCCCGTGGGGGGTCGCAATCCACCCTCCAATGATGAACTAGAGAGCATCATTAAGACCATCAACAGGTGAGTACACCAGCCTTACATCATTTATGTGAATTTATAAAACTTATACAGCATAATCCAAAAAAGTTCAATCTGGTCCTCTGGACATTCCAAAACAAAAAACAAAACAAGTACCATTATGTTGAACACATTGTCTCCAGTCTAAGAGATAATTAGTGAACCAACCAATGGTGTGTTCTGAGAAACCAATTTCTGAGAGTTTATGACACAAGATATCCTGATGCATGCTCAATAATCCAGGTAGAAAAATCCAAAAAAGTTCAATCTGGTCCTCTGGACATTCAAAAAAACAAAACAAAGCAAAAAAATCTAGATGCGTATCGTCTCTCATCCGAAAGACTTCCTCAGTCTGAGGTGCTGTTTTCAGCTCAGTCTCTTAAATAGCACTGTCTCAGAGTGGATCAACCAGTTTGCTGCTGACAACCAAAACCAGCTGATCACATGCTCAAGAAGGACCATCAGCCTAACAATGGATCATTAGCACACTGATGGCTGTTTACTATTCACAGAGGGCTGAGTGATACTAGCAATCACAGCATTGTAAGAGGGGGACAGTTGAACACGTAGGCCTCCACCCCTGTTTAATGATCGACAATTTCTTTTCACAAAGATGGCCTCCTTTACTCCTCTCTCAAACCATCGTTCTTCTCTATCCAGGATGTGAACATCTTCATCCCTGAAAGAGTGACCGCTGGCCTGGAGATGAGTGTAGACCTCAGAGTCCTGGCCTGATGATGTTGATCTTCTGTGCTGGTCCATCCTTTTGGCCAGTGGCTGTTTAGTTTCCCCGATGTAAGACTGATCACCTTCCTGACACTGAACTACATACACAACATTACTCTTTTTGTGCTGGGGGACTGGATCTTTGGGATGAACCAGTCTTTGCCGTAATGTATTTTGGGGTTTAAAAGCCACTGGGACGTTATGTTTAGAAAATAAACATCTCAGTTTCTCTGATACTCCCTCAACATATGGAATGACCACTGGTCTGGGTCTGGGTTCCTCCTTTTCACCTGATGGCTGACTGGAGTCCTGTTTGGGTTTCTTCTCTGCTTTCAGGAAGGCCCAGTTAGGATATCCACATTGCTCTAGAGCCTGTCTTGTTTAGGACCTGTTAGGAGTCATCAGGACTCTGTATCACAGAGCAGACAGTGTCCCCACTAACTCAGGAGCCAGGCAGAAGGAGAAATCCCACACAAGACAGGCTCTAGAGCAATGTGGATATCCTAACTGGGCCTTCCTGAAAGCAGAGAAGAAACCCAAACAGGACTCCAGTCAGCCAACAGGTGAAAAGGAGGAACCCAGACCCAGACCAGTGGTCATTCCGTATGTTGAGGGAGTATCAGAGAAACTGAGATGTTTATTTTCTAAACATAACATCTGTTAGGACCAGTCTAGATTAAAAATATCTTATGTGTCAGCTCTCAAAGCAACACGTCCCAGTGGCTTTTAAACCCCAAAATACATTACGGCAAAGACTGGTTCATCCCAATGATCCAGTCCCCCTGCACAAACAGAGTAATATTGTGTATGCTGTTCTGTGTCAGGAGGGCTGTGATCAGTCTTACATCGGGGAAACTAAACAGCCACTGGCCAAAAGGATGGACCAGCACAGAAGAGCAACATCATCAGGCCAGGACTCTGCAGTCTACACTCATCTCCAGGCCAGCGGTCACTCTTTCAGGGATGAAGATGTGCACATCCTAGACAGAGAGGAACGATGGTTTGAGAGAGGAGTAAAGGAGGCCATCTTTGTGAAAAGAAATCGTCCAACGTTAAAAAGGGGTGGAGGCCTCTGTGTTCAACTGTCCCCCTCTTACAATGCTGTGATTGCTAGTATCACTCAGCCCTCTGTGAACAGTAAACAGCCATCAGTGTGCTAATGATCCATTGTTAGGCTGATGGTCCTTCTTGACCATGTGAGCAGCTGGTTTTGGTTGTCAGCAGCAAACTGGTTGATCCACTCTGAGAAGGTGCTATTTAAGGCTCTATTTATACAGACACGATGGGGGGAAACGTAATTTTTTTTCCGTATGTTAATTAGAGGAAAAGATTTGCGTTGACACGGTCGTATTTTGGGTTTAAATGCGTCCGGAGGAATCCCCCCCTGCCCTCCCGAATCCGCTGTAGTTACCATGCCGGGTCATTAGATGGCGCTGTGAATTTTGTACCTTCACCTAATGTGCATGCGTGCTGCCTCGGCACACTGTTTTCCTCTGGGCTAAAAGTTCAGCTAACAACAACGTAACAACAAGTTAAAGATGGATTTTGGATGAGTGTCGACAGATCTGACGCCAAGCGGGACTGCTTGGTCTAACAGCTCCACACCGGTCGCTGAGTGGACCAGAACCGAGTCGACCATGTCAGACTGTACTCCGTGATAATCAGTAGCTGTTTTACAGCAGGTAAATCAATGTTCTTAATAATGTTAGCTTGTGTTTTCTTCGATTACAAAACAACCAACTGAGTTTTTATTTTTCCTGAAAGAAGAAGGAGCTGTCCTTCCACCAGGTGGACCGGTTCTGAACGAGGCTCGGACCAGGTGCAGTGCAGGGGGACGTCAAAGATAGAGATGTTGGATGAACTATTTTTTTTAAATTCCCCTCAGTTCTTTTATTCAATCCATTCAAGTTCAATTAACTTGTTTTAATAGTGTGTTCAGTTTAATTATCAGTGTTTGTGTGACATACAGTTTGTGGTGTTGAATAAATAAATAAAAATTAAACCTGATGTCTTCATTTTCAACTTTAGTGTTCACGCTATATGTTTAGCATCATTTTAAATTTGAATTACATAATGTCCAGATAGCTTCATTTAGCTCAGAGCGTCATTATATTTCACACTAACATAAATACTGTTTATTATTATTAAACTATTATTTAGCACATTTAGATGTTCTAGTGCAGCGCGACGTATGCGCGTGTCTCGTTCTATAAACAGTGATATTAGAACTGGATCAGACTGTGTCTCTTCCAACACAGATGTCGGTCACAGCACCTGGAATCTGACGTAGATTAACTACGAGATTAAAAATATATTCCATCAGTCGTAGTTCAGAAAGCAGTGTGTCCGCCGCCATGTTGATAGAAATATAGCGTCTGTCCGCATGTGGTTTAACACAAAGCCTCAGCGGGAGATGTTTACATTATCAGCAGGGGGTCAGTGAAAAACCTCCACTCTGGAAGGTGGGTTCAGAAACCTCCGGATTCAAAGAGGGGGTCACTGGTGTCGTGTAAATGATCAGCAGAACCACAGAGAGAAAGCTGCGGATACACTCAAAATACGTGCCGTGTAAACGGCCCCTTACACTGAGCTGAAAACAGCACCTCAGACTGACTGTCTTTCGGATGAAAGACGAAACGTTTCTACAATTTTTTTTGTTTTGTTTTGTGTTTTGAATGTCCAGAGGACCAGATTTAACTTTTTTAGATTTTTTTACCTGGATTATTAGAGCATGCATCAGGGTATGTTGCCTCTGATTTATTTAGTTTAGATTGTTGTTCACATGTCATTCACACATTTGTTACCTTCTTTTAGCTCTCACAGAGATAGCAGCACTGCAAGAATTCACATGTAAATTTCACTTAGTGCTCATATGTTCATGTGGTCCTGGGGGCAGTGGTGGCACAGAGATTAGTGAAAGCTAGCTTGTGATTAGAACGTTACTGGTTAGAATATCCAGACCAGTGCACAAAATTTGGCTGGGAAAGGTGAAGCACTCACATCTGCCTCCACCGTTACCGTAGTTTTCAGTCTATAAATCACTGTTTTGCATAATTTACGTGCCGTGAGACTTATACACCGAAGCAACTTATTTAAACCAATTTTTGTCTGAGATATGACCGTTTTCATTCTTTCTGACTCAAAATATTGAACACTACCATTTTCAGCCACTAGATGGCACTCAAGTAGTATGGCGTGCCATTGTGTCATCTAATAGGTAAAACTGGCTATTAGTGACACAATAGGCTTGCCATAGCCTGCCACCTTCGTCCAGCTTTGGGAACATGCCTGGAGCAACTGTCAAATCAGCTTCATTTCGCTGCATCCCCCTGCCAAAATGCAGCTAATTTGACATTGAAGTGCATTTATTAAGTAAAAGTTCATCTGAGTCACACCTTTGCTATAAATTTGAGCAAACAAATAATTGTCTTTAATTGTTAATCTTGTTAAAGTCTTCCTGTGCATGCTCAGCCAATCGATTTTTGGCACAACACCGGCCCACATTTCCAAGTTGTCAGCGGTGACGCATAACAGACGCGACACGTCAGCGATGATGCATAATAGATGTGACGTGTACAGCGGAAAATACGGTATTTGCTCCACTGTGGGTCCTTGAGCAAAGTTCTTAACCCTCCAGCTGCTCCCCGGGTGCTGTAGGGGGCAGCCCTCTGCTCCACATGTGCTCACGAACAAATTTCCCTATTGGGGATTAACAAAGTTTTTTTAAATGTATTTATTTATTTTTCTTTGGGCTGCTCCTTCTTCAGGGGTCAACACAGAGAACTAACTCACACGAAGACTTGGCCATTGTTTTTACACTGGATGTCCTTCCTGACACAACCACAGACCACTGAGCTACCACAGTCCTCTGTGTGGAGCAGGGAGCTGCTGTCTGGGGTGCCCGGGGAGCAGATGATGGGGGTTTAGAGCCTTGCTCAAGGGCTCAGAGTGGGGCAGGTGTGGGTGTTTCACCTTTCACACCCACATTTTGATGTTGTTGGTATGGGGAGTCGAACCGGCGACCTTCCAATCACAGGCCCACCTTCGCTAACCTCTGCGCTGATTAACAAAGTAAACTTTGTTGTTGTTGTTGTTGTTGTTGTTGTTGTTGTTGTTGTTGTTGTTGTTGTTGTTGTTGTTGTTAAACTGTAGATTCAAAACATGGAGCTGCCACAGGGCATTTGTTTCAGGTCTTTTATCTAAAAAGTACGTACCTTGTAGTATATACCGTATTTATTTGTGTATAATGCGACCCCCCCCCCTCCCCATTTTTTGAGCTTAAAGAGTGTAAAAGTACTACTGGTCATGTTTAATGGTAGATTTCAGGATGTTTCATCCTTTGTGGTCTGGATGTGCATCAATAAAATGATCAGGTGATAGTTGCTCTATCAGATCTTTTTATTCTACTTTAACTGTTAACCAAGACGTGTTCTAACAGATCACTCTGCAGACAGCCAGAGGGTGCCGGGGGGAGACGCACTTCGAGGGTCAGTGGTGATGTCACTGAGTGGCACTTAGCTTTGCCTAGCTTAGCTCAGCATAGCTTCATGTATGTCACCATTCTCTTGTCCATGTTTGTACCATGAAAATTTACTCCCATGTATAAAATGACAACCCCCCCCCCCCTAATTTTTGGATGAGTTTTGGGGTTATATTCACATTATACATGAATAAATATGGTAAGTCATTACAGATGAACATTAAGTGTGAAATGATCAGTAACAAGGTGGTTCTGTTTGTTTTGAAGTGAGCTGAACGTAGCGTTGGTCGATCCAAACCTCTCTCTGGCTGTAGCCAAGAATGCTGCCAAAACCATCCAGCTCTTCTGCGTCAAGTCTGAACAACTGGTGCAGTATTTGTTCTTTACATTGTGTCACGTTGATCAATCAAACACATCTCTGAGAGGGCGCTCAAATTATCACCATACAAACCTTTTTGTCTGTTGCATTCATGCCCACTCTTGGTAAAAATAGTAATATCTGAACCATGTCCATACAAACCATAAAACATGATGGTAGGTTAAATATATACATTTTTTAGATTAAAATCACCAATTTATAAAAGCATGACTAATATAGTAAAATGGCTATGTGCTACTAGATAATAAAAAATAAAAAAGGATTCCTAATGTATACCTTGACGTTTATTGTGACTTGATTGTCTGCAGCTGTGCACTCAGGGGGAGGGCAGCCAGGTGATCGGTCCGTTAACAGAGGGCCAAAGAAGAAATATTGCTGTGGTCAACTCTTTGTATCGCCTGCAACAAGCTGCAACCAAGGTAACCCTAAATAAACATGCTCCTGTTGAAGTACAATGTAAAATGAATTTATTCAGGAGATTCTGTTTGCAGTACTGTGTGGTAATGTTTTACTCAGAGAGATAGAAGCATCATCATAAGATGATTCTGTACTTTTATTTTGAAAAGCACAATGGATGTACAGCAGGACTATTCAAAACTGGGTTCTCTTCATCTACTTTTAGGACTTGTGTAAAAATATGATCATGTTTTAGGTCATATTGATGCAGAAATATAGAAAATTATAGAGTTCACAATCTTTCAAACGTCACTGTAAATGCCCTTTTTTTAGGAGCAGCAAAGTTCTTTGTAGTTTTTACAAACTGGTTTTGCAAAATGGCCACAAAGACCAGTTCATTCTTATGCTGCCTTTGGCCATACATACAGGTCCTTCTAAAAAAATTAGCATATTGTGATAAAGGTCATTATTTTCCATAATGTAATGATAAAAATTAAACTTTCATATATTTCAGATTCATTGCACACCAACTGAAATATTTCAGGTCTTTAATTGTTTTAATACTGATGATTATGGCATACAGCTCATGAAAACCCAAAATGCCTGTCCCAAAAAATTAGCATATCATGAAAAGGT